TCTTACCACTCCTTAATGCATTCATTATCCTAACATTTTCATTTCGTGAGTTTTTTCCTAGATTCATGCTACTAGACTCCCCTTACTTAAATCCTATGTTAGGTGGTTCCTTGAATTTTCTATGGGCTGACTAGGTAGTTGTCTCTCTTCTCTCTTATTCCCAAGAGCCTCTATAATTTGTTTCCGCTACAACATCATTTGATTCATAGTTTGTTGCATCATTTGGCTCATTTGCTGCATCATTTTTATAATATTAGGTTGGGTTGGAGAGGGCTGATTCTTTTGAAATCTGTTTTCTTATTTTGGACGAAATTCAGAGTTTAAATTGGGTCTAAGTGCTTTTGGATTTTGAATATTATTTGGGTCTCTCCATGAAAAATTACTCCTCTAATTAGGATTATAAGAATTTAAAAAAGACTCCTTATTTCTATTAAAACCGTGAGCTACTTGTACTTATTCTTGGATAGGGTGAAATGATTAATCTAAATTATAGCATTAAAATTCAGAATAATCATTTTCACTATACATAAGACATGTACTATTTGAATTAAATTGAGAGTTAAGAGTCTTTCTAATATTTTCAATAAGTAAATCAAGTTTTTCTAATATTTGATTAGTTTGATTAACCTCATTTCTGAAACTAGAATCATCATCATGATACAATTAATAAATTTTTCTCTTCTTATCCTTATCATATTATTCATATAAATTCTCATAAAGACTATAAATCTTATGAGGGGTTTTCTCTATAAAAGCTTCTCTACATATAGAATCAACCATATTTCTATGTTGTTCTAATAATCCATCCTAAAAAAAATTAGTAAGCTACCACTTAGTTATAGCTTGATGAGAACACTTTCTAAGTAAATCTTTAAATTTTTTCTATCTCATGTAAAGTTTTTCTTGGTCTTTGAGAATAACTTCGTATATATTTTCTCATATTTTGAGTTTCTCTTAAGAGATAAAATTTTTAAAGAAAGTCTTATTCTATGTCTTTCTAACTAGTAAATTCTCTATTTAATGTGGATAGTTAATGACTAGCTTTGTCCCTAAGTGTATGAGGAAATAATTTCATCTTAATAATTTATGATGTAACTTCAAGGAGATTAATTAAATCACAGACCATATGAATTTTTCTAAGTGTTGATGAGGTTCCTCTAAAGATAATTCATGAAAATTAAGGAGCATTTGAAAAATTTCTAAATTTATTTCGAATTTAATAGTAGGTGTTAATGGGACTCTAATATTAGATGTTCTTTGAAATGAATCAATGATATAATGATTTTTCATGGCCATAAGATTGTTCTCAATTTGACTTATACTTCAAGATCCATCAAAATTAATTTTTCTTTCGGATTTTTAGTTTTCAATAAAATAATGAAAGGATTTTTTAGCCTTGAATAAAAGGATCTTCTACCATCTACAAAAAATCAATAAATTCAAGGAAAAAGTTTAGTAATTGTTACCCTCCTTCAATATGCTCCAGTCCTTGCCTTGCTTCTTTTTGTTCCTTTTTTAAAAAATAAAATTAGGCAAGAAGAAAATAAAACTAGAGATCATTTTTTTGTGTACTCTAAGAGAAAAATAGAAAAATAATAAATATTATGTAATACATCCCTGACAACAGCGCTAAAATTTGATGTGACTTAGTTACTGTAGAGTAAATCACGTAAATTTAAAATTTATAAAACTAGAAAATATGAAATTTTTGATATTTACAAGTATTTCTGAACAAATATATCATTATACTTCAATAAAACTTCAAAAAATAGTAGTAATTTTCCAAGTTGATCATAGGGATGTAATATAGTATCGAGTAATTATTCAGAATTTTCCTCAAATAATATTATTTTTTATGAATTTTATATTAGAAAATAAAAATAAAATATATTTAAAATTCACAAAAAAGGGAAATAAGGGTGCAGATGTCAAGATGACATCAGCACTCGGCAAACACGAATCAAGTAGAAACAAAGTTTCACTCAATAATTCTTATGTAAGCGATTACAAATGATTTAATTGATCAAATTAAGATTTGTAAAAGTCAAAAGAATTGTAATTGAATGAAGTATATCTTAGTAAATTTAAAACACATAAATTATCATTAAATAAAGCAAAAATTAAGTTGAAAGTAGGAAAATAGAGTTCTGACGTTGTGATGGCGATGCACCAGAATCTTGGCGTTCGAGAGGATTGTCATGTAGTGTCTATGGCATTGAAGGCTCTCCTTGGACAAGGATGATGTAGACAATCTCTAAATCTCCTTGCAAAGTTTAAAAATCAATGAAATGAGTCGTCGAATCGTCTTTAGTAGCTGTCACCTATTGGAGCAGAAAAATAGTGACTTTGCAGCTCTCCAACGATTGTCATCTAACAGAGAGGAGCTGGATAGAGGTGGAGCGCATGTTAGGGAGCTTCATCTTCAGGTCCACGTAGTAAGATAAGGCTCTTCATCACATCCGATATGTTCTCAGGAGGTAGTGACTCGTCTCTCAGTAATTTTTCCTCTTCCCAATGATAGCTTATTTGTTGATTTATTGGAGATGCTTTACTTGATGGATTCACGATCTTTTTATCGCAAATTATTCAATAATTTTAGTAACAATGTTTCGCGAATTGTATTAACGAGATTTTCACTGATGATCCAGCAATTCTGGTGGCTTAATCCTTCACTAGCGATCTATAAGAAAGTCACGATAATCAGAAAAAAATATGAGTTTTGGCTCTAGGAGGATTCAAACTCATGCTGGTTGCTCGCCTACATGAGAATCTATTAAGATGAGAATCTAAAACATATTATTAAGAAACCATAATTAAGATGAGAATCTAAAACAATAATGTGCCCCTGATTCCTCTTTTAACTTCGATCAATTGAACATTCTTTATAGAAGGAAATACATTGTTTTGATTATTGGTTAATGTCTTTAAGTGTCAAGGCAATTGAAATTTTATTTAGTATACTTGACACAGAGGAACTCATTAGTCAAGGAGAATGGCAAATGTAGGAATTTGTAAGTATAGACTTTCCATGTGAGATCATACAAAACAAGTTTGATTTACATTTACAATGTTCAATTGGATAATAAGTAGATTAGAAAATTTGGTAAGGTTTATTAGAGCTATATTTGATTAGAAAAGTTTTAGAATTTTGCTAATTGTGTTCCAATGACATCAAAGAATCTTGATTAACTCACAAAATCATTATTACCGAGAAATATAAGATAATATTGAAACAAAGATTCTTTCAAGATGTTGGTTTCTTTAAAGCATCATTTTCTTACATGTTATCATTTTGACAAAACTGAATAGGTTTGAAAAGAATGTTTAGAAATAACAATAGGAATATTGAGTATGAAGATATGTACAAGAGAGAAGGTAATGATAGTAGGCCATAGTGATGACAATGAGTCACTATTAGGAAGACATCATCATCGTTATTGCAGATTATAGAATAAGTAAGCTTGTCCCTTACACTATAAGTGCCTTAGTTGATAATGGAAATCCCATTGTTTATGTGGAAGAATTTCAATATATACATGAAAAGTTTATGGCACTAAAAACAACGAGAAAAAGACAAATGTTTAATATTAAGAAATAAATTTAATTCAAGAAAACTAAAATTATTTGAATTAGAATAAGAAAATAGTTGTTTTCAAAAATCTTGGAATTATTAAGAGTATAATATTTTTTTTGCTCTTTTGTCAAAAGAGGTCATTGGAAGTCATCAATTGGCACTATAATTGGAAATCAAAGGTAGGAAAGAAAGACAAAAACTGACCAAAAACTACTTATTTAAGACTTTATCTTTTCCTCCTATTGAAGTATATAGGCTGATGCTTCTTTCAAAAAGCAAAGTGAATATAACTTGGTCATAATTTTTTTTTGTACTTAAATATATTTGCCATATTGTCATTTTTTACATTAAAATGAATATAGGATATTTTCACTTTGACATCACCTTCTATTGTAATTAATATTTATCTTTTTTTGATAAGGATGGCTTTATTGACATGTCATGATGAAAAAAAATATGTTAAGTTTTTGACATATTTTTTTAATGTATATTGGTTATGTTGGGCTTTCTTCAAGAATTGAGTTTTTGACTACTCCAAACACACTTTATGAAGGAACTTTGTTTGTAAAATCTGGCAACAGTAGATGGTAGGGAAACTTCATGTTTTGAAGAATCCAAAATGTGATGCTATTAGTGAGATGATACCACTTTATGTGAATCTTTAATTTTTTTTATCTTTGTATCTTTCTTAGAATTAAAAAAATGTGTTGCATGATACCACTTTATGTGAGATGATTTCACTTTGTTTGCACTCATATATCTTTACAGTTTGCTAAAAGGAGAGAATATTTTAAAGCACATGCTTATCAAAACAAAGAAATGGGAGAAATTGTTGGTTTTGAGGCTATCTTATAATCTCATACCATGTTATTTATCTGAAATCAATGTTATATGGACGGTTTGAATTTGATACCAATACTTTTTTCGTACAAGGCAACTAATTTTGACCAACTTCCCTCCGAACATATCGCACAAAAGTCAACCATTTCAGATTTTTAGTTAAGGGTGAGAGCTTGCTTTAAGAGTTTTTTTTTTCCACTTTCATTGACTTACATCTCAAATCACGCTCACCCAGAGTGGTTCTTTCTTGCAGGTACTTTTCAAGGGGAAGCACCTGTTTCTAGTGAAAAGACCATCTGCACCTCATCGTCAGGCTCCCTCCCGTGTTTCTCTCTATCTGGAACCCACCGCGGCTCTCGACCTCTCCTCGACGATAAGAGGGCGGAGTCTCACAACCAGTCGAGACCCACCTGGGCCACATCGTCTCCCATCCACAAAACCAGGGAGAATCAGAAATTCAGATCAAAATTGGAGGAATAAGACTACCCGTGGCTCCTCTGCCCCTCGTCTCCACCCCTGTCAGCAGCAGCAGCAGGCTCCGGCTAGCTTCTCTTCTCTCTCTCTCTCTCTCTCCAGACGCCCTGCCATGGCAGCTGCGGCGCCCAGCTCCCTCTCCATTCTCCCCTCGTCTTCCTCCTCATCCTCCCGCCGCAATGCCGTCGGCGCCGCCCCGGCCCGCTCTGGGCTCGTCCTCAAGAGCCCCCTCCGGCGGCTGGGTTTCGCCGGCGCCGCCGCCGACCCGTGCCTGGCCCTGAACGTCGCCTCGAGGGTGAGGGAGGTCGCAGGGCCCGCAGGGAGAGGCCCACGAGGGGTGGTGTCCATGGCGAAGAAGAGCGTGGGGGATCTGACAGGGGTGGACCTCAAGGGGAAGAGGGTGTTCGTCAGGGCCGATCTCAACGTTCCCCTCGACGAGAACCGGAACATCACTGACGACACCCGTATCAGGGCGGCCATCCCCACCATCAAGTACCTCGTCGAGAACGGTGCCAAGGTCATCCTCTCCAGCCACCTGGTGAGTAAAGTCAACCCAAATCATCTACTCTCTCTCTATCTCTCTCATATATATATGTATATATATGCGCGGAGGAAGATCATTTGAGTTTTGCCAAGTTTTGCATGCGTTGCTATTCTATTTCTAGGGGGCTGAAGTTTTTTCTTGTACGTCCAGGCCTCAAATCTTCTTCCCTCTCACTGGAAAACTCGTTTTTTCCAATTTATTTTTTCAACCCTTTGCATCTCTCGTCCTTTTTACCTGCGATTGGGCAGTGTCAACGTGCTCAATGCCGCTGTCTGCAACTTCTTTTGGAATATATTTCCCCTATTAACAGTGCGATCATCGGTATGAAAGTCCAGAATCATCGGCCAAGTTATACAACCTGATCATGGAATGTCTTTAGAATGAGAGTAAGGATTCGAAATCGCTGTAGAACTGAGTGACCACCGTCTCCAGCTCTCTCGTCTGATAGATTATGGGCACAGGCCTGAAGAACATTAAGTGCTTTTGTCGTCCTTTCTTCATGTTTTTCCCCCTTTGAGTTTCAGCTGATTGAAGTGAATGTCAAGAAAATAGTGAATTCTTTTTCTGGATTATTTTCCATGTTGATGCCGTGATATTCATTATTTTCTGGAATTATATTTTCATATAATTTCTTTATACTCCTGTTCTTCTCTCATTCTTACTGCACTTATTGAAGAAAATAGCATATTTGATCAGTTCATTTCTTTCTGCTTCTTTCTTTCAGGGTCGCCCAAAGGGTGTCACACCAAAGTACAGCTTGAGCCCCCTTGTCCCCAGGCTGTCAGAACTCCTCGGCTTTTCGGTCTGAGCATCTTTGATTCAGCAGAATTATGCATGGTGTGGGATGGGTCGTTGCCTAATATAATAAATAGTCTTCTCCTTTGTTGCTAAGCAGGTTGTGAAGGCTGAGGATGTCATTGGCCCAGAGGTTGAAAAGCTGGTTGAGGCTCTTCCAGAAGGAGGTGTGCTCCTTCTTGAGAATGTGAGGTTCTACCCGGAGGAAGAGAAGAATGACCCAGAATTTGCCAGCAAGCTTGCTGCTCTTGCTGAGATCTATGTGAATGATGCTTTCGGGACTGCCCATAGAGCCCACGCATCAACAGAGGGGGTCACCAAGTACTTGAAACCCTCTGTGGCTGGATTCCTTTTGCAAAAGGTTGGAGCCCAAACCAGATTCCTTCTTAGATAACTAATTTGTGGGATTTAAGTATGTTATCTCGACTTTTCCAACTTTTTGGGGTCATCTTCTTATAAGAAGGTGCAGGATTTTTCTTCTGGGTCTGTGGATTTTGTCCCCATTTGGTAGATGTCTCTTTTGCAGGGTACTTGTTTGCATCTCATTTATCTCAGGCTGGTACTCTTTTCCAACTAGAAAATAATAATGTGCAAGCTAGGCCTTTTTGATGACTCCCATCCTTCTTTCAAGTCCAAATATAGTAATAAATATCGTTTGGTTTTAGGAACTTGACTACCTTGTTGGAGCTGTTTCAAGCCCGAAGAGGCCCTTTGCAGCCATTGTTGGCGGGTCAAAGGTCTCATCGAAAATTGGTGTGATTGAGTCACTGCTGGAGAAGGTTGACATCCTCCTCCTCGGTGGAGGGATGATCTTCACATTCTACAAAGCTCAAGGCCTCTCAGTTGGTTCTTCTCTGGTGGAAGAGGACAAACTTGATCTTGCGACGACACTCATCGCGAAGGCAAAAGATAAGGGGGTCTCTCTCTTGTTGCCCACTGATGTGATCATCGCTGACAAGTTCGCTCCTGATGCTAACAGCCAGGTATGCTCCTCATCCTTTGCAAGAAATTTTGAAGCAGGAATTATTAGAAAATTTTCCACTAAAAAAGAAATGCCCATGATGGAGTGTGATGCTGGACTAGTAAAAATGAAACATATTTCAACTTTACATTTTTTTGAAATTATGTATCATGTCTGATCTGTTTCTAGTCTAGGGTCTTGAATTAATGAGATAGGTATTATTTTCAGTAAAGTTGTATCGAAATTAAACCAATTAAACTCATGTTAAAAATATTTTCTGGATTTTAAGCCGAATTACATCCAAATGAAGCCTTTTTCTCCTGACCATCCCAGCCTGCGTCCTACTCATAAATTGCCAATCCTGGGCAATCCGATCCGGACCTAGATCAGATCTGGCATGCCAATCTCTGCGTATTTTGGCTATATTTACATGGATACAGTCACGTGAACTGAGTCAAAATCGTAAATGGACTAGCTGTCTTCTTCGATGTTAATATTGATGTTGCTAGGTGGTAATAGTTGGTTGACTTATGTAGATTGTTCCCGCAAGTGCCATCCCCGATGGCTGGATGGGTCTGGACATCGGACCCGACTCTGTGAAATCCTTCAGTGAGGCTCTGGAGACCACCAAGACCGTCATCTGGAATGGGCCCATGGGAGTCTTTGAGTTTGACAAGTTTGCTGTCGGAACTGAGGTACACGCCACTAATTGATCCAGTGAATCCACATTTGATTGGGTTCTCAATCATCTTGATCCGTCCCATTGAATCTCTTTTTTTTGTGGGGGTGTTCCTTTTTAGGCAATTGCTAGGAAGCTGGCAGAGCTGAGCGGCAAGGGAGTGACCACCATCATCGGAGGTGGTGATTCGGTTGCCGCTGTCGAGAAGGTTGGAGTGGCGGAGGTGATGAGCCACATCTCAACAGGGGGTGGCGCCAGCTTGGAGTTGCTGGAAGGAAAGGAGCTTCCAGGAGTTGTGGCCCTGGACAATGCTGTGCCCGTTACAGTCTAGGCAAGTTTGACTTGCTTGGCACAGCATCTCTGGCGGGTCATCTTCTTTTCAGATTCCAGGAGTGAATTTGTGGAAATGCGTTTCAGCCTCTTATATCACTAGCTGTATGAGATCTTTACTGGAGAGAAGTCATCGGGATCAGCAATGATAGGAGAGTGTCTCTCTAAATAAAAATATCCGAACATTTACATCTGATCTGAAGTCAACCTTGCTGTTCATCAGCTGTTCAGTGGCTGTCTGTGTGAAGGTCAAAGGTCTCCAAGATTTGCTAAAAGTTATAAGGAGAGTTTGTAGGTGAGAAAGTAAGATAAAAGACCCTGCAGCCGATTATTGCAGGCTCAGAGAATCTATACCTGATTTCTGGAAAAATACTTCTTTCTGAAGTATCAAAGTCAAGCGCTCGTTTGGAAGAAAACATAACATAATTTCGTTTGATCACCATGACATTCCTTATTATTCTAACTAAAATGAAACAAAATAATCGAGGGAAGATGCCTAGTTTGACAAGGTTAAAGCTTCCGAATGTGGGCCTTCAGTAAATGGTGCACATTCTATGGTAGATGCATGCAATGAGTGGGTCACCGTGAAATCTCATCAAATTTGTTAGAAAAAGGGTGTTGATCTTGCTCTAATGGGGGATGGAATGAACGTGAGCTCTTGATAGTCTGGTATGTTCTAGAGGGCTTCTACTGTTTCTATCAAAGCCCACTGTTCAACGACCTCTAGTGCTAGAGCTTGCCATTGTTGTCAAGGGGTTAGGGTAGCCTGGCTCCCTTGTACACTTGGGCCAGCTTTGCTTGCCTCTATAGGCGCCCCAAGTAGCTTCTCTTTGCATTCAGAAGCTTTGCTCGCTCAAGGAGATGTGTATTCCACTTCTCAATTGTGAGTATACAATTCATGAAGTCTGGGCTACTCCCAAGAGGTTGGAATTCTCCTCTATTTATGGGGCAGAGATGTACCAAAGGTTTCCCTTATTTGCTTTGCAAATCCTGTCCTATCCATTCCATAATAAGCGGGGGCTTCCTTATTAGGTGGAGGGCACATTAGCCACCGCCCTACCTTGTTAGACAATTGACTGCTATCTATGTTTAGACCTGGTCACCAGCATGTCATTCTCACCATGCACAAACCAATTATGTGCCCACTTCTTGTAACTACTACTCAAGATTGATGCGGATGTACCCATCATATCATGCTTGGATAGTGCACACTTTGTGTACTCCAAGATTTATGTGGTGTTCCTTCAAATCCAATTTATGGTGGTAGACCTCCACATAAACTATGCATTTATGTGCATGTTATTGCACTCCCTTGGCATGCCATGCTATGTGGGTGCCTACCACATCATGATGCCTGGTGCAAGGGAGTGCGGTGCTTGAGTACAATTTTCTTGCATGGTCCATGGGTACCTCTAAAATCCTTGTAGGGAACATCACTTGGCCTTATGGTGGAAATGAGGTTCGACCCACCCATAGAACATAGATCTATTGTCACAAAGTCAATGGGGTCATATCTCTTCAAGAAAAATGTCTTGTAACACTTCACCTTGAATGGTTTCTCCATCTGCCTTCTATCACTTGGGTGAGATTTTTTGTGCCTATTGGTGGGAGCTTTGCTCTTGTGTGGGGGGTTGCTTGTCTTGTGCTTGCACCATTCTGTCATGTTGCGTCATGCCACATGTCATCCATCACATGAATGCACATACAATTGTGAGCCGTCGCATGCCTCACAATGCATTATGTTGCACACCCTCATGCATAGTCATGCAGCCACACCATATTGTTGCTATCTAGCCTCAGTGGTATAGTGTGCCACTCACATGATATTGCATGCGTGACATCCCTCCATCTGTGCCACATGTGCAAAATACATGCACGCCATACCCATCAATATAGACCACTACGTAGAGGTCTTGCACTTGGAACTAAGATCCAACAAGTTGAAGGTGTGACACAGTGGACTAGAGGTGTCACATTGGCCCTTGATAATGCAGCTTGGTTTTGGGTCGTTAGGTAAGCGTAGTAGAGGGGGGACGCCCATCATTGACACTCCCTTGCCCATGGTTTTTCTAACCATCGTCTATATAAATTATGAGTAGAAGTGAAAGAATTAAAGAATATGAGAGAGAGAGAGAGAGAGAGAGAGAGAGAGAGAGAGAGAGAGAGAGAGACGATCATCACTTACATTCCCTTGCCAATGGCTTTTCTGATCGTTGACTGAATAAAATTATGATTTGAAAAATAAAAGAAAGAATTCCCATGCAATGATTTTAGATTGAGAGTCCAAGTAAAAAGATATGAGAGAGAGATAGAGAGAGAAAGAGCACGGGTGCAATCGGATTTTCGTCGAATTGGTAGGCGACACCTGTCCTGATAGCGACGTCACCTTAGAGTGTAGTTGCTGTCCAAACACCCACAGACCCGATAGGAGCTTGTTTAGTCACGGCTCACGTTTTGGCGGCCGCCCATCGCCCCCAGCTTTCCGTCCCACGATCAGACAGACAGATGGCTCCTACCCCGGTCAACGCGTCAGGGAATCATCGCATATTCCCATGATCGGACGGACAAGAGGGGAGATGTATACGTTAGCAAATCCTCCTCTCCTCCTAAACATGACCTGTTTCTGTTTATAAAACAGTCAGGAAGAGGCTATCTTCTACCCTCTCACTCTGTCTCTTCGGATTTCTTCTAGCTCAGTGTCTGTTTCCCTGGTTTTCGCTTCTAATCCGGTGCCTCGAGATCGGTGGTGTCGGCTATGGCGAAGAGGAGCGTGGGAGATCTGAAGGAGGCGGACCTCAAGGGGAAGAGGGTGTTCGTGAGGGTGGACCTGAACGTTCCCCTTGACGAGAACCAGAAGATCACCGATGATACTAGGGTCCGGGCTGCCATACCCACCATCAAGTACCTCCGAGACCATGGCGCCAGGGTCATCCTCTCCAGCCACCTGGTGGGGATCTTGATCTTAGGGGAGGCAGGAGAAGATCCTGGCCTTGTGCTTTTATCTAGGTTTCTGTTCGATTTATTATCTGGACAACATGTGAAAAATCGTGATTTTTGTGATCAGCTGTGTTGGATTTGAACGATTTTGTATTTCTCAATATCTTTGTCCCGATTTTCCCGCAGATCATAATTACTGTGAACCGTCTTCTTATAAATTTTTGGATCTTCTCATGTTTTCAATGGATGCTTCTTTCTTCTTTCTTGGGACTCTTGAGATGTTTTGTTGCTTCTCGAGAGTGGTCTAAACCCCAGTGTAGGTTTTTGGTTGTATAGTACGTTTTAACCTAGTCATAGATTATCACATTTCGTTGGGCTTTTCTGTTTCACGTCCTCGAAAATGAGGGTGATAAGCCTAGGTTTTTTCTCTACTATCTCTGTTGAATTAGTAATCTTCCCCATTTTGTTGCACGACATATGATCGTATTTTGCCTTAGAAGGTTCTTTATTGAATATACTCCACTGGCCACGTGTTTGTAGGATTATACTTCCTTTGGTCTTTAAATAGAAAAGGCTGCTCCTTTCTCCAATCATTTCATCAGTTTGTTGTTATCATGCTGTGCGGTTTATTGGACTCCTCTCATGGATCTATCTCGGTGCCATCTTTACTAGTTGAATCGATGTGATCTTGAAGATGTTAGGATCCTTTTTGACTTTTATTTTCTTCCTCTTCGTTTCTTATTTTTCTCATCGTCATCTTCCTCTTCCCTTTTTTTCTTCCTAGTCTGTTCTTAGTTTAGCTAAGATTTTTGACTGATGAAGCATTTGAGATAGGAGGGACTGGAGATCCGTTGTTGGGAATCCACCTCGGTAATTTTGGGAACTTTATAGTTAATTAAACATTTATGCATTAAACATCTTGCAACGTTTATGCATTGAATATTTTTGGTTTTATTTTGTCCTTTTGGTACACAATGGATTTCATGTAGTTTCTATGAATCCGTTTCCAATCCGGATGTTTCAGAAAGAAGTTCGTTGGTTTCCATATTTTATTTTTATTGGGTCTGGTATTTTATGATTAATTTTGCTGGAAATTGATATTCATCCTTCTTGTCATTCAGGGGCGTCCAAAAGGTATTACCCCGAAGTACAGCTTGAAGCCTTTGGTTCCAAGACTATCCGAATTACTTGGTGTCAATGTATGCACTTTAAACTACCTTTACTGGCCTGTGTCTCCTTCTCATCTATTTTCTTCTCATTTGATGTGATCTAATGTTCCTTCACTCATGGAAACAGGTTGAGATAGCCAATGACTCCATTGGGGATGAAGTTGAAAAATTGGTTGCTGCTTTACCCGAAGGAGGCGTTTTGCTTCTCGAGAATGTGAGGTTCTACAAGGAAGAGGAGAAGAATGATCCAGAATTTGCCAAGAAGTTGGCTTCTCTTGCCGACCTTTATGTTAATGACGCTTTTGGTACGGCTCACCGTGCCCATGCCTCAACAGAGGGGGTTACCAAATACTTGAAGCCAGCTGTTGCTGGGTTCCTCATGCAAAAGGTACCGCTGTAGCTTGTGCTTATTTCTTGAGCATCTTGAACCAGTATGCTAAGCAGCCAAATGCATATTGGATTTTTCGTTCTCATTTGTAATCTTCTGCATCAGCTCTTTTCCTTGATGATAAGGAACCTTAGTATTGCTCATAACTATTCGTGGATACCCATGCTTTCTCTGGTTGCTAAACCTGGTACTTCACCTCCTGTTGCATTCTCCCGAAACCCACTACCGCTTGCTGATGGGGACTAAGCACATATTGTCCAAAATAAGTGGACAACATCATATAGCTCTATTAGCGTAAAAAGGGTGTTATGCTCTTTTTCTGCAGAAACTTTGGGCCTAATCTGTTCTTTAGGGGTAGACCCATGTATGTGGTTACCTTAAGAGGAAGTATGAATTCGGGCAGAATGTGTATTTCTCAGTGTCACTTAGTCCTAAATGCTAAAATCATCGTCTGGAATGAAGGATTAGAATGACTAATGATCTATATTGTTCCTTAATTCCAAAATTTATATTGTGAAGAGATACTAGTCAGTACCTGCTCGGTATGCATTTTTGTTCTTATTTAATCTCCAACTTTACATCCTGTTTTAGGAACTTGATTACCTTGTTGGAGCAGTTTCAAACCCCGAGAGGCCATTCGCTGCGATAGTTGGTGGCTCCAAAGTCTCAAGCAAGATTGGTGTTATCGAGTCTCTCTTTGAGAAGGTTAATCTCCTCCTCCTCGGTGGAGGAATGATATTTACATTCTACAAGGCCCAAGGATACTCTGTTGGTTCGTCTCTGGTCGAAGAAGATAAGCTCGAGCTTGCCACGGCACTGATTGAAAAGGCTAAGGCAAAGGGGGTGTCACTTCTGTTGCCCACCGACGTGGTTGTGGCAAACAAATTTGCTGCTGATGCAGATAGCAAGGTATGCCTGGTTCTATTCCTCAAGGCTCTTCGATCATGCAATATTTTGAACTGTATCTTCAAAACCATAGTCAGTCTTTTGGGATGAGGATTCCAGATCAAGTGTTTTCTCATTTTAGGTCTTCCATCATAGAAGAGTCCAGTTGTTACTTTATCTCCAATGAATCACTGTAATGGTGATATCTTGCAGGTTGTCCCCGCATCTGCTATCCCCGATGGCTGGATGGGCCTCGACATTGGACCCGACTCCATCAATACGTTCAGTGAGGCTCTGGATGGCACCAAGACCGTCATTTGGAACGGGCCAATGGGAGTCTTTGAGTTTGAGAAATTTGCTGCTGGAACTGATGTAAGATCGTGTACTAATTTGCCTACTCTTTTCCCTGCATGGTCGGATGGGCTACGAGATTTCTCACTTAGATATCCAAATTTGGCAGGCGATTGCAAAGAAGCTGGCTGAACTCTCTGGGAGGGGGGTGACGACCATCATTGGCGGCGGGGACTCGGTTGCGGCAGTGGAGAAGGCTGGGCTTGCCGACAAGATGAGCCATATCTCAACTGGTGGCGGTGCCAGCCTGGAGCTGCTGGAGGGCAAGCCTCTTCCCGGGGTTCTCGCCTTGGATGACGCATGAGTTTGCCCCAGGCCCAGAGACAAATTTTGCTCTTTTTGGGTTTTTCATGCCTCCTAGAACTCTTGAAGAACGATTCCCCTGTGCCAACCCAAGCGAGTTGCTCTTGGGAACTTATCTGCTGGCCTCTTTGCCGGGCTAGTGAATAAATTTCCGGCTAGGATCCCTTGAAAGGTAAGTGCTTTACCAATTTTGAATGTTCGCTTTAACAGGTCTGTGGGGTGCATGCCCATGACGAATAAAAGGACGAGTTTTTTGGTCTTCGGTTTATAGAAACCAGTAGTAGGAACACTGGCTCATCTTCTTAAGTATGTGGAAAAAATTTCCTAAACGGATGGTTAGTGCAAGAGTTAGTCTGCAGTGAGAGGAAGACGGCAAATGTTCAGAGTCAAGTTTCATTTTGAAAAAGTTTATGAGCTAAAGTATCCATAAAACTAGTAACAAAGACAGCGATGAGAATGGTCACCATTTGCCGCACAATCGAACACATTGATTAACGCCACGTTCAGTTTATATTGGTCCTTTATCTCTCTCTCTCTCTCTCTCTCTCTCTCTCTCTCTATCAATCTATCTCTTGCGGGATGCCGGCGCAGGCACTGCTGACCCAGTTCGAGACTAATCTTTGGCAACCTTGTTATGAGTGTCAGTACCGGGAAATGCACCATTTCTTTCATCTAGTTGGGTTCCAAGAGTCGCCAACGTGGTTGACAAATTATTGGCTAAGTTTCTGGTTATATTTGAAGACGAAAATAATATCGATCTTATTCCGTCATGAAACTTAGAAAAGCACACAAAACATTTGTCCATTATTGTAAGGTCTTCCGAGAACCACTTCAATTATATGTGGGAGTACCAACTAATATTTTGGTTGTCAAAAATGAGTAAAAAACAAGAGCTTTGGTTCTCTTAATGTGGGAGTACCAACTATCCTTCTAATAAATGATTGAAGATCATTTGGTTCATCTCAAAAAAATAAAAATAAAAATAAAAATAATATATTTGTTAAAAGGCACAAAGAGGGCTAGTCTATGGTTCACTCAATTCCTATAAGGAGCAAGGATTTAAAAATAATGATCACTTCACAAAGGAAATTGGAATCAACATCTTCTTGGAAAAAAGGTTGACTTCAAAGGTTGAGCCTCTGATTGACCATCCTCCACTGACTTGAGTTGACTTTTATGAGTGGAAAATTCTTCATTAGATCTTGTGATCCCATCATTTTCCCTCAATTTAAAAGAATTCAACCTTGTTGAATTGTCCATTGTACCTCCAAAGGATTCTTCAAAAAGCTTGGGTGCAATTTTAAAGAACTTATGTAATAAAACCCAACTACAATTAGATATTGGTTTATTCTTTCATTTGACAAGAAATTCTCATTGATTTTCATTAGAAGTGGTGATAATGTGATCATTGATGACATAATCAATTTTCGAATATTTAGAAATATTTATGAACAAATATATCAATTATAATTCAATAAAACTTTCAAAAATAGTGGTAATTTTCTAAGTCGATCACAAGATGTAATATAACATCGGGTAAGTTTTCAAAATTTTCTTCAAAGGATATATTTTTTATGAATTTTATTTTAAGAAATAAAAATAAAATATATTTAAAATTTATGAAAAAGAAAAATAAGAGTGTGGTTGTCAAGATGATGTCAGCATGTGACAAATGTGAATCGGATGAACATAGAGTTCTACTTGATGATTCTTACATAAGTAGTTACAAATGATTTAATTGATCAAATTAAGTTCTATAAAAGCCTAAAGAATCTTAATTGAATGAAGTATATCTTGATAAATTTAAATCACATAAATTATCACTAAATTAAGTGAAAATTAAGTTGAAAGTAGGAAAATAAAGTTTTGACATTGCAACAGGGATGCGTTGATGATGTATTAAAATCTTGAGCATTCGAGAAGATCATCATGTAGTGTTTATGACCTCAAAGGCTTACTTTGGACAAGGATGATGTGGGCAATCTTTAGATCTTCTTGCGAAGTCTAGAGATCAATGAAATGGGTCATTGAATCATCTCTAGCGGCTGTCACCCGATGGAGTAGAAAAATAACGACTTTGTGTCTCTTTAGCGGCTATCACCTAATAAAGAGGAGTTGGATGGAGGTGAGACGCATGTTAGAGAGTTTCATTCTTAGGTCTATGTAATAAAATGAGATTCTTCATTACATTTGGTATGCTCTCAAGAGGTGGTGACTCATCTCTCGGTAGATCGTCATCTTCCTGATTGATCGGAGATGATTTACTTGGATTACAATCCTTTTATCGCGAATCATTTAACAATTTTAGTAACTATGTTCCATGAATCACATTGACAAGATTTTTACCGATGATCTAACGATTTTGGTAGCTTAATCCTTCATTGGTGATCTGCAAGAAAGTCACAATAATTAGATAAAAATATGAGTTTTGACTTTAAGAAGATTCAACCCCGCACCGATTGCCCACTTACATGAGAGAGATTGAAATAAGTACTCTAATGCCCTTATCAAGTGACGTCATTATAATATATATTTGAAATATTTGAAACCTTTTGGAGAAAGATGTGACATAGATTTCATCTCACATTGCTTATGTACCGAAGTTTTGAGTGAATATATAGTAATATTACATTTGCTAGCAATGAGTTCCTTTCTCCTATGTGTACAATCACTCCTTGCCCCACAATTGGCTGGCCACCAGTGATGTGGAAGGAGAGTGGCACACACGTGCCCCCATCAATCCTAGCCGCTCGAACCCCTGCTTGCAATTCCTCTCGACTGCACTTCTGACCCGCTTGCAGGCTTGATTGGTTGACAGGTCCCCTCCTTTTGCTATATTTTTATTTTAATTTCTTTTTCTTCATTTATCTCAAAACTAAGACTATAAAAATCATATAAATTCGTAAAAAGTTTTCACAATTTAACAAAAATATAAGTCTATTTATCATGAATCAAGGCTAGAACTATATTATTTACTAATTATTAACTCATAATAATAAAGACTTATCAGTCGTCTACCAAAGAGTCAATTATTAATCATAATCGTCAATTAGAGGAGTGTAATTCTAGAGGATTAAGACATCTCGTCCCCCTCTTGAAGGGTGATTTTTGGCTCTTTCTCTAATAGTAGCTAACTGAAGAAAATAGGAGGAAAATCAAAGCCTGGTCAATAGTATTCTCATGCCCAAGGTTATCGTGGAGAAGAGATTACTTGAGACGTATCAAGATCGTCACAAATCAAGCATCATTGGGCCTAGGATTGATACACAATGAGGTTTGTGTAAGATCCATATTTATGATGTTCTTATAATCCTCCTTATAGATAGATTAACTTTTAATTCAAACTTATATTATCATTTATTCTATCATTCCATTGGGTGAGATCTATTCCCTCTTTTTTGCCATGCTTTTCATAATTCTTGTCTTCACTCTTTTACATTTAATTCGGCCCTTCACAATCTTAAGTATATATGTATCTATATAATAAATAAAATAAGTAAAATTCTTACTCTTATTATCAACACTCCCTAAGAATTGACCTTTACTTATCATAAATAGAAGAGTGAGATTTTATAAATATTATTTACATGAACTTAGTTGCATTATGAGAACATAATTAATCTCTAATTCGAGTTCATCAAAATCAAGACTTAGTCAACAACATTCTTGTGCCAAGATCATTGTGGAGAAGAGATTACCTGGAGCGCATCAAGATCATCACAGATTAAACATCACTTAGCCTAGAACTAATACACAATGAGGTTTGTGCAAGATTTAGATTTGGGGCTTCCTTATAATCCTCTCCATGGATATATTAACTCTTAGTTCAAACTAGTTTACCATTTATTCTATCATTCTATTACATTAGATTTATTCTCTTCCTTTTTCCACACTTCTTGTCTTCACCCTTTTTAGATTTAATTTTGCTCTTAATAATTTCAAGTATATCTATATATATAAAAAATAAAATAAAATAATTATTACTCTCATTACTCACACTCCTTGATGATCGACTCTTATCCTAAACATAAGAGTGAGGTTTTATAAATATTATTTACATGAACTTGGTTGCATTACAACAACATATCTAACCTCTAATTCGAGCTCATCAGCTTGGTGATATGGTAGATGGCTAGAAGGCATAATGGTGGCAATAGGGCGGATGGCTAGGAGACGGAACGATTGCAATGGCAAGAGAGAAGAAAGGGAGGGCTGATGACAAGATGGAACGAACATGATGTGGGGAAAGAGAAAGAGAGAGAGGTCCCCCTAATATGAGAGGGCAAGAAGAAGAAGATACCCCTAATCCAAGAAGCGAATGATGGAGAAGGAATTTGTAATCCAAGAGGTGAGAGGGATAACAAGAATCTTCTTGATTCTAAATTCAACTTCAATTTTTTAAGTATTTGTGAGTTTGAGTATTTATAGGAAAGAGAGGAAGGTAGTTAGAGGCGTCCCCTCCCAAAGGAGGCCAAGTGGTATCTCTTGGAGGGAGAGGCACCTTCCTTAGGGGAGAAGGGTGCATGGGTGACATGGCCTCTTCTCCTCCCTCTTTTTCCTCCTTGGGGGGCCACCTAAGGGAATGAACCCCCATGTTGACTCCATTTGATCTCTTCTCCCTTCTCTACTTCCCTTCCTTTATTCTTCTCACCTCACCCTTTTATTTTATTATTTCCATTAAATAGTGATAAATATTTAAATCACTCTATATATAAATTAAATTAATTTTTCATGACAGATTAATCAATTTACTTGTATTTGACCTAAGACTATATCTGTAATAGTATCTTATTAAGTTTTAGTTATAAATATTATTAGATAGTGAGTATTTAAACACAATGACAATTACACATTAGTGGTACATCCTAAACTATAGTTATATTTGGTTGTACTTCTCCTCATGTTTACATCACAACCTAAATATGAATCTATAAAATATTATAACTTTAAATTATGTTCTTAAAAAAAAGAGATATACCTGAAGTACCTCTCATATAATAG